ACTTCTCTTTGGAGTGCAAGTAGCTCAGTTGGATCTACACTAGGCACCCCGATAGCTTGAGATCTACCAAGCCTTCCCTCTGTGGTTTAGCACTTCACTAACTGCTGGACTTGTTCATCTTCTGTTACAACTACTAGCACTTAGAGAACTTGCACCAAAGTGGAAAACTTAGATTCAATTCCCTCAAGAAATTACAACAGTCATATCTCCCACTTATCCAGGATATACTATTAAAACCAGATTAGGGAACAGGCTGGGTAGGAGGTACCCTCTATTTGACCTATTAAAAATAATAAGAAAATAAAAATAAATAGCATGAGAAAATCAGGAATTCTTAAGAGACCCTGAAAATAATCTTCTGTGTGAAAGCAGGGGAGGAATGAAACCAAGGAAGCAATCTGGACAAAAGTTGTGACATTATGACTATTTTTTTTTCTGTAATGAAAGTAGTTGCTTTGTGTTGAACTCAAGGCATGCTGTGTGCATGGCATTGCCTCTGCAATGGTAGAGGTAGTCATTCAGCTACCTGCGCTGGGATGATTTGGTACACGCACCTGCTTTGATGCATAGAAATTTTCCAGGTTACCAAGGAGGCAATTCAGTTTCAAGTACTGCCAAATTGAAGAAGCCATCAGGGTATCTGTGTTTTTCTAAAATATCCTTTCTAGGTGCCAAGATATCTCCTATGTCACATTTTAAATTTCAAAGTTGAAAGAAGGAGATACATAGTCCTCGAGTCAAAGGTCGAAGATAGAAAATCCCTAAATATCCACACAGCCGTTATCTATTTTAGCTGCTGAGGCAGTCAGAGGCTATATTACCAAGCTTGTAGGACCCTTCTGATGAGGAAAGTGTCCAAGTCCTTTGTGAAATAGACGGATCATGTGTCTGAGTGGGTACCCAGGGTCTAGTTCGTCTACATGAGAGAGTCTGTTGTGAGGGATCCTTTGCCAATTGTGGAGGTGGAAAACAGTGCATAAGAAGTCGTGTAGCAGCTCTGGTGTGGGATTGGGGTGGGCGATGGAGACAGGAAGGTATTTAGGCCTCCAATTTTTCCCATAGTATAAAGATTTTTCTTTTTCTTGAGCCACGATGATTTTAGTTTTCTGACTGTCAAGAACAAGGAGAATAGATATAGCAGTCTTTGTTACATCTGTGAAAGGCTTTATTGGACAAAAAGTTTGTAGTTCGGAAGGGATTTTAGTGTGAGGAGTGCTGAAATTCATTTTTGTGTAACCATGAATCATTGTTAGAAAGGGACCTTTATTCTTCTGTAACTTAGAGTGAGCTACCACTGTGAGACACATGAAAAATAATTCAGACCTCATATCTTATTAAACTGAACTACTTTTGTTGCTCCTTGATTTTTAGAGCAGCTAATTCTGTAAAAGTTAGAGGTGGTTATGTTCCCAAATAATAAAAGTACCCAGAATGCACAGCCATAAAACATCATTGTTCTCTTGTCAGGGATAAAACAAGGTCAGAGTTAGACAAAAGTCAAATCAAGGGTGTGGCATCCCATTTGCTAGACTTGTGCTTCATCAGGCCACAGGAAGGCAGATTCCAGTGTTGGGAAAGATTAGATGCAGAGGATGTTCCTGTCCTATAAACAGACTCTCAGCCAGCAAATGACCCTTTAATAAGAAGTATGACCTGTTGCCATAGAACAAGGGTTAATGATTTTAAACTAAAAGAGGGTAGATTCAGACTAGATATAAGGAGGAAATTTTTTATGGTGAGGATAGTGAAAGACTGGAACAGGTTGCCCAGAGAGGTGGTAGATGCCCCATCCTTGGAAACATCCAAGGTCAGGTTGGATGGGGCTCTGAGCAACCTGATTGAGTTGAAGATGTCCCTGCTCATTGCAGGGGGGTTGGACTGGATGACATTTAAAGGTCCCTTCCAACCCAAACTATTCTATGGTTCTAATAGGAAAAGGAATCAGACCCAAGATGTCATTGATAACTAGTCTCCAGCTGAGCATGCAGTTGCATTAGCATATGGAGTCAGACTGATGTACACACCACACACAATATGTACACGTAAGTACATGTTCAAAGCCTTCCTCTCAAGGTCTAACAAGTTTCTTGAAGCCCTTCTTTCTCACTAGCTTCATTAAAGAGTAAGTAGTAAGGGTGATCCATGCCAAACAGGATTCCTAAGGCCGAAGCTCTCTAAAGACTATATTCACTATTTGAAAACTGTTCTGTCAGAAAATTCCCACCTCCCTCTAGTTTTAATGTTTCAATAATTATAATGACTGTTTCAAAAACACAACGATCATTAGAAATAAATCCCACTGCATATGAACTGTAATCTACAATGTGAAACTATCTATGATTTGGATTTTTTTAACATAGACTGTTGTGCTGGTCATTTCAATTAAATCTACAGAAAATACATTAGATGTAATGATACAGCTCATGCACAATACCTGCACTAAGTGCGTTGAAATCCGTGGGCTCTTGTTATTTCAGTGAATGCATGATCAGATTGAGAGTTGATTCACTTATGAAGCTTACTTGAAAGTAAACCTTCAGGCAGACGTGTTTTCTCTTTAGTGTTTGTAAGAGCTTGGCACTGTGGGAACTCTTATAACAAAAAAAAGTAATTGAGATCTACCATAGTGCATGTATTTGTTTCTAATATGACCAGGACTATTGCATGAATGTATGTATTTTACCCTATAACATCCAGAGGTTCTTTATCCTTTTTTTTGTTGTCTAACTCTTACACTGAACCATGAAAGAGGAGCCTTACAGCTTGGGTACTTGATGAGGACTTAAAAAACATATATTTAAATGCCAGGCATTATTACAGATTCCGCGAGTGAGGCTCAGCTAGCCACTTAACTGCCATGACTTGGATTTTAAAAAATGGTAAGGCTTCAAAAAAGGATTTTTTATGCTTAATGGAATTTTCATATGCACTACAGTTTGTTAAAGGTATTACTTGCATTGATTTCAGTTTTGCAAATCCCATTAGGAAATATAAACATTTTTAGGAACCGAAATACTTTTGCTTTTGGACACCACTTGATGCAATGCTTAATCCTAAAAACCACTGCTGTACCAGTTTAATTGGAGATCAACCAATTTGGTTCGGAGAGATATGGATATGTTGTTGGTGTTGTTTGCATGTGAACATGCATCTGCACAGAGGTCCTTCCACTGAAGTCTGAAAAAACCTGCTTTTTGATGGAACCGTGTGAGAAGTGTTCATGAGAAGTGTTCATTAGAAGTGTTCATGCACAATGTAGGTCAAGCTCTGCTTTCAGGCACACCACTGTCATTTTGGAGATTAAAAGGAATGGAATTATTTCACTGGTGTGAGAAAAGACTGTATTGTGTATATTTACTGATGTATTGTCTTGATGTATTATTGAAGTGAGGGAAGGTGGTGCTGCTATAACTTTCCTCGGCGCAATGCGAAGGTCTTTTCACTCTGGTGTTGTCCATGAAAGAAGGTTCAGCTTCTTACAAATTCTGAAGCGTTGTCAGCCTTTTCTTAAAGAGTAGATTGGGCTATCGCTCATTTTATAATAATATTTGACAGTTTTCTGTACAATTACACAGATACTTTGCAAGGTGGTTCAGAGTGAGAGTCCACGCTTGTCCGTTTGTCCGTTTGTCACATTTCTCACTTAACATTGCTTTAAGTGATATCAGCCTATTTGTGATTTCGAAGGAGAAAGTATCTAATGGAAAAACTTTGTAAGCTGAAAGACATTAAAAAATGTTCAACTACAATGGTGACTGCACACCAGTTTATTATATCTCTACTTTTCTGCCAAGGGGCAAGTTACCCAAGGGCACTTAATAAAAACAGATGATCTGAAGCTGACATTGCAGACAGACTTACTAACTTATCTCCAGGTTAATGTGATAGTATTGGCCAGTGCTTAAAATCATGACTGACAACAATGTCAGTGACTCCTCTGCCAAGGTAATAAGCAGGTTTTTCTTCAGTATCTTTTTCAGTATAACAATGTGATTACTGAGAGATTTCCTATTTAGTTTAGGAAACCACACAGAGCTGTAAAGTAAAATTGTTGTCTCATAAAATGTTTAATAAAATATAATTTCCTAAGAAAAAATAAATGTTGAGCAGAACTGCAATTAGTATTTCTAATATACTATCTGAATACTTCTCCACATAGAAACTTCTGTCTTCTGTTCTTATGGAGTGATCGTTATAATTTTCTTTTATGGAAGACCAGAGTTGCTTTCTTTTTGTAGGTGATAACAAACAATAGACAGAGTCACTCAGAAATGACAGATTTTTCCTTTGTAACTATAAGAGGTTGAGGTCCTTTATGATCTGATTTCATGGTTCCCCAATTTTCTGATTTCTTAGTTAGGACTGTGACATATTAATATGTTTATTGTGTGCCAACAGAGCATTGTGATTAAAATTCAGCAGTAAGGTGGAAATGCTGAAAGAAACAAACAAAAAACCCCAACAAACTCAAGAACATTCAAGCTTCACTATGGAGAAACTGATTTTTTTTTTTCCCAAGCTTGAAACTCAAAGAGGTTATCAAAGATTTCATTAGATTTTGCATTATACCCGCTGCCCGTTGAGCCATGCTGCACACACTACTGAATCACCATGTGGCATACTGTTGTAGAGGCTTCTGCATATTAAAGTAGATGCTACAAGGCTAACCCTATTGTCACTCCTCTTTTCCTGTACAGACATATTTGTTTCTTTTCTGAAAATGTCGTTGCTACAGCATCTTGATTACGTTTATGAGAGTGAAGTTTAGTAAATATTATGTTGTTTCTACCACCTACTCTTAAGGTTAAAAACCGAACACGAAGCAGCTGTTCTTGACTGTAATTAAAGGCAACCAAAGACAAGGGTCCTTCTGATGTACGTACAGAAAAGGAAGACGTTACCTTTCCACATAGTATTTTGAAGTTAATTACTTTATTTTCCTTCTCATATTAAATTAATGTAACAATGATTTTTATGTTGTTGTTTCTTTCCTTCCCCAGATGTACATCCAGACAACAACACTTACTGTCTCCATGAGTTTAAGTGCTTCTGTGTCTCTGGGCATGCTCTACATGCCCAAGGTTTATATTATAATTTTTCATCCAGAGCAGAATGTTCAAAAACGGAAGCGGAGCTTCAAGGCTGTAGTGACAGCTGCCACAATGCAAAGCAAACTGACCCAAAAAGGAAATGACAGACCAAATGGCGAGGTCAAAACTGAACTGTGTGAAAGTCTTGAAACCAACAGTAAGTCATCTGTAGACTTTCCCATGGTCAAGAGTGGCAGCACTTCCTAATAGATGTACGTTCACAAGAATGCACTTTCTTTTCATAATAAACTTTATTCTTTTCATTGCTTGTTCTGCATGAATCCAGAGATGTGTCAGAATTCATATACTGCTGAAT